GAGGGAATATTATTGTGAAATAGTGCATATATTTTCTGCCTTTCATGCAACACTCCGTCCTCTATAAAATGTAGGAAAGTCGCAAGTTTCCAAAAACCATGACCAAATGCAATTTTCCATAAAAGCGTCTTCATTACTTCCATCAATTTGTGAGAGGATTTCATGGTTAGTAGTGTTTGGTCAAACATTTGAGGCAGTATTAAATACTGAAGTTCACTAAGTCGGCTTGCCCATTAGCAGTGAGGAGTACATCGCCGCTACGAAGAGACGTTGGAATTTGCTGAGTATACTTCACAGCGTTCGTCTTGAGAAATGTGTTTGATACTGCCTACAATTTTTGTTGAATCCAAACGGAGGCTGCATGTAAGCTTGTCGAAACTTTCAACTGCTCTTGCTGCTTTACAGCTAAGTTCGCAAAATCGTTTATAAGGTTTGGAGAACAGTGTGAGATTAGCATCTCAAGATGAAAGTGGTGCACCCACATTCAAAAGTGAGGACCGACTTGTTAACCTCTCCTGGAAAGGAAGGAAGGAATTTGTTATTTCCATGGGACCTTCTTGAATTGTTCCTTAGCGTGAAGCTGCTTGGACAACTCTCAGCTACTACTCCACATAAGCTCGCAGCAAATCTGGCCGGAGCGGCAGGTTACCGGGAATGTTGCCGGCAGGTTACTGGGAATGTTGCATTTGTGCAACTGTGCCGTTTGATGTGTGGGCAAAATAATAAATTCACTCAAAACGGATGCAATAAACATAGTTTCGTAATTTCTCTTCGAACACCTCACAGACACATTGTATGAAAAACATTTTAAGAAATTGAAAAACATGTGTCTTCTTCTCTTTTGATCTTTTGAACAACCAACGCACACGCTCCGATAAAATGTGTGAACATTCCAAGTCTTCCATTAGTTGCAGGCTTCTGGTTGGCTTTCATCGTTATCCTGGGGCCGTATATTTCGGTGGAAACAAAATTTGAAGAAATTTTCTTCCCGAGAGGGTTTTCGATTATTTCCATCAAACTAAAAAAATGGAGTGCTTTTTCTTCCTACTCTTGGGAGTAGAATAGCATACGGCCGTGTATACACAAAGTGGTCGTTTGGAAGAAACTTTGCAAAACTCATGAAGATAATCATTTTTGCTCTCTTGTATTTAGGCAATTTTTATTGTTACTATTTATTTTTATTATCCATTTCTCCTATTTCATGGGATTCTTCTCAGTGCGATTATTGCACAGAAGTTTTGGATGTAGTGAAACATTATTTTCATGTTTGTTTTTTGTTCGTTTTTAGTCTTACCTTAACTACAGGGTGCCTACTAAATATTGGCGCATGGTTTATTGACCATATTTTTGAAAAGAGAAGCTATTACATCTTCAGAAGTTTATTTTTATATACAGTAGAACATAACAATTCATTACTAAAGAAGATGCTCGAAATGGCCTCCTCCGGCAGCGATACAGGCTTCAAGTCTCTTCTCAACTGACATCACCGTGGGCCGCAAGTAGCTGACGTCAAGCTCCTTCCACGCCTCCTCCAAGGAAGCCTTCAGGAGAGTCCAAACTTCGACGTTGCTCAGAAGGCATCTTCTGCTGCAAGAAGCCCCACACCGCAAAATCAATTGGGTTCAAATCGGGCGACTTAGATGGCCAAACATCTTGTGACCAGTAACCTGGAAAATGACGGTCACAGAACTCCAGCGTAGATTTTGCGGCATGTGGAGGCGCCTAGTCTTGCTGAAGAATGCAGTGACGTTCGCTGAGGTCGAAACAGTCCACGGAAGGAGCACATCACGTAAAATTGTTTCCTGGT